GTTAGATTTTAGTGCCATTGATTCATTTTAAAAGTTGAATGGAAAATGATACTTGATGTTCCATAAAGTATCATTTTGTTAAAAGGCGGGAGGATGTAATGACCCTGCTTTGCATGGTCCTCACGATTACATAGTGGCAAGCAGAAAGTCCGTGCAACAAGGGATAGCACGAGATACTTGTGCCTAGTCGAGGAAGCGAGGGAAAGCCCGAGCTAGACTCGTGGTCAGTCGATCATCAGAAGTCAGAGAAGACGGTTGTAGTATTTGAAGATGTCGTCTTTATGTTGCGCAAATGTTTAATGTTCGAATATGTCGCGAGTGATTAAGTGTGAATAATGTTTGAACATGTGAAATAAATGGACCAGAATAAACTGACAGAATGTACCAAGAAGCTGAGCGGCGTTTGTGTTGTCAACCCTAGACGTTAAAGCAGTGCAAGTTTTGTAGCAGTGACATCCAGAGAGTGAGCCGTGGCGAAAGCCAATAGGTAGTAAGCCAAAGTGCAGTCCAAGTCAAGCCAAGGTTTATTACAACAAGGATATATTGCACAAGATGTAGACTGTAGGTCTGTCATTAACACCTTGCGCCATAACCTTTGTCTTCTTTTTGCTGACTGTTAGTCCAAATTCACAGCATGCATCAGCAAAGGCAGATAGTAAACACTGCAGCTGCTCCTCTGAGTGGGTGGTTATTGCGGCATCATCTGCAAACAGCAGGTTTCTGATGAGTACGTTTATTATCCTGGTTTTGGCCTTCAGCCTTCGAGCATTAAGATTATTGACCACATGTAACACTGATTACTGACTGAATTGACATATAGTATTGGATACATCTATCAGTGATTACTGTCTGTATTAACATATAGTATTGGATACATCTATCAGTGATTACTGACTGAATTGACATATAGTATTGGATACATCTATCACTGATTACTGACTGAATTGACATATAGTATTGGATACATCTATCACTGATAACTGACTGAATTGACATATAGTATTGGATACATCTATCAGTGATTACTGTCTGTATTAACATATAGTATTGGATACATCTATCAGTGATTACTGACTGAATTGACATATAGTATTGGATACATCTATCACTGATTACTGACTGAATTGACATATAGTATTGGATACATCTATCACTGATTACTGGCTGAATTGACATATAGTATTGGATACATCTATCAGTGATTACTGTCTGTATTAACATATAGTATTGGATACATCTATCAGTGATTACTGTCTGTATTAACATATAGTATTGGATACATCTATCAGTGATTACTGTCTGTATTAACATATAGTATTGGATACATCTATCAGTGATTACTGTCTGTATTAACATATAGTATTGGATACATCTATCAGTGATTACTGTCTGTATTAACACATAGTATTGGATACATTTAACACTGATTACTGACTGAATTGACATATAGTATTGGATACATTTAACACTGATTACTGTCTGTATTAACATATAGTATTGGATACATTTAACACTGATTACTGACTGAATTAACATATAGTATTGGATACATCTATCAGTTATTACTGTCTGTATTAACATATAGTATTGGATACATCTATCAGTGATTACTGTCTGTATTAACATATAGTATTGGATACATCTATCAGTGATTACTGTCTGTATTAACACATAATATTGGATACATTTAACACTGATTACTGACTGAATTGACATATAGTATTGGATACATGTAACACTGATTACTGACTGAATTAACATATAGTATTGGATACATTTAACACTGATTACTGACTAGCATAGATTACTGACTACATGTAACATAAATTACTAACTAACATAAATTACTGACTACATGTAACATAAATTACTGACTACAAGTAACATAAATTACTAACTACATGTTACATAAATTACTGACTACATGTAACATAAATTACAGACTACATGTTACATAAAATTACTGACTATATTGACATATAGTATTGCATACATTTAACACTGATTACTGACTAGCATAGATTACTGACTACATGTAACATAAAATACTGACTACATGTAACATAAATTACTGACTAGCATAGATTAATGACTACATGTAACATAAATTACTGACTAGCATAGATTATTGACTACATATAACATAAATTACTGACTAGCATAGATTATTGACTACATGTAACATAAATTACTGACTAGCATATATTATTGACTACATGTAACATAAATTACTGACTAGCATAGATTACTGACTACATGTAACATAAATTACTGACTAGCATAGATTATTGACTACTTGTAACATTAATTACTGACTAGCATAGATTACTGACTACATGTAACATAATCAGAACTGAAAGGATTACCTCCGACTGTCTTTGGCTTCTCTCACTCTTATATCTTGATCCTTTCTGTCAATGCCATAATCCGCCTGCCTGTTTTCTAGTTTGGTAGATTTGTGAGTGCTAGATGTGCTCTTGTCTCTCTCATCCCTGGGCACATCTCGTCTGCTGGTCAGCTGACGCTCTGATTTTAGCTGCCCGTCTGTACCATGCTGACCTTTGTTCTCTGACAGACGGCTCTCACTATGAAAACGCTGTTTTGATGATCCTCGATCTCTAGTTCGTCCTCTGCCTTCCGCCAGCCCATGGTCCTTAAGCTGCTCCTGTTCACAGACCACTGTGTCCACTTTGGCTGATGGGCTAGATGAAGGTGTAAGGGACAGATATCCAGATGACCCTCCCTGACCAAGACCTCTGTTTTGTGCTTCAGACATAGAAAACTGACGTTTGAGTTCTTTCCCCTGTAAACTTCCAGCTCTTACAAAGGCATTCTTGGAGCGTTCTGTGGTGTTTTTATCTGTCAATATATTTCGTTCCTCTTGCTTGTCCGCAAGCTTAGCCCTCTTTTCACTGGAAGGGCTGACTTCAACATTCACTGAGCTGATCCCACTATCAGGTGCTACACCTCCCATGACAGCTGTCCCATTTGGGGACAATCCTTTGTGATACCAGGCTCCTGTCTTGGCAAGCAAATCTTGCTTTCTCCTACACAAATTGCACATCCACATCATCTGCAAACAATTCCGCAAGCGAAAGTCCTTAAGCTGTCAGTTGACAGATCAGCAAGGATGTAAGTCCAAGTATGTCAGTTGACTATCTAGCAATTGTGTAAGGACAGATATATGAGTTAACTATCAGCAATTGTGTAAGTCTTTCAGTATGTCAGTTGACTATCACCAAGGGTGTAAGTCTTTAAGTATGTCAGTTGACTATCAGCAAGGGTGTAAGTCTTTGAGTATGTCAGTTGACTATCAGCAATTGTGTAAGTCTTTAAGTATGTCAGTTGACTATCAGCAATTGTGTAAGTCTTTAAGTATGTCAGTTGACTATCAGCAATTGTGTAAGTCTTTAAGTATGTCAGTTCCTCTTGCTTGTGCAAGTCTTTAAGTATATCTTTGACTATCAGCAATTGGGTAAGTCTTTAAGTACATTAACTATGAGCAATTGTGTAAGTCTTTAAGTATGTCAGTACACTATCATGCAATTGTGTAAGTCTTTAAGTATATTTGGGGACTATCAGCTTTGTGATACCAGTCTTTAAGTATGTCAGTTAAAATCAATTGTGTAAGTCTTTAAGTATGTCAGTACACTTTGTAAGTCTTTGAGTATGTCAGTTCTATCTGCAAGTGTAAGTAAATAAGTATGCAGTTGAATGTAGCAATTGTGTAAGTCTTTAAGTATGTCAGTTAACTATCAGCAATTGTGTAAGTCTTTAAGTATGTCAGTTGACTATCAGCAGGGGTGTAAGTCTTTGAGTATGTCAGTTGACTATCAGCAAGGGTGTAAGTCTTTGAGTATGTCAGTTGACTATCAGCAACGGTGTAAGTCTTTGTGTATGTCAGTTGACTATCAGCAGGGGTGTAAGTTTTTGAGTATGTCAGTTGACTATCAGCAAGGATGTAAGTCCTTGAGTATGTCAGTTGACTATCAGCAAGGGTGTAAGTCTTTGAGTATGTCAGTTGACTATCAGCAAGGGTGTACACAAGCTGCCTGACCCACCTTAGGACGCAGATTTTTTCTTATATTGAATCTCTAGCCCTGGTGTTGTCGGGTGCAGTAATGTTACATCATGGTTAAACAGTTTTTTAAGACTTGCACCCAGTGGATTCTCATCCCAATTGTGGCACTTTACGTCATCTGATTTATCACTCCAGTCCTGGTCAGTGCTGAGTGAGTGGTTTCGAGGCATGGCATCCACCTCGACTACAAGAGGTCTTAATTTTAAACCCCGTTAAAGGCTAGGATTTTTTAAAGTAAGATCAGAAGCCCGAAAGAATTGCTGTGGCAGTTGGAACAGTCAGCATACATTATAAAAGCCCAGTCAGCCCACATTATAATAGCACAGTCAGTACACATCCTGGTAGCCCAGTCAGCACACATCCTGGTAACCCAGTCAGCCCACATTCTAATAGCCCAGTCAGCCCACATTATAATAGAACAGTCAGCACACATTATAATAGACCATACAGGACACATTATAATAGCGTAGTCAGCACACATTCTAATAGACCATACAAGACACATTATAATAGCGTAGTCAGCCCACATCCTGGTAGCCCAGTCAGCCCACATTCTAATAGCCAGACAAGACACATTATAATAGCGTAGTCAGCACACATTCTAAAAGCCCAGTCAGCACACATTCTAAAAGCCCAGTCAGCACACATTCTAAAAGCCCAGTCAGCACACATTCTAAAAGCCCAGTCAGCACACATTCTAAAAGCCCAGTCAGCACACATTCTAAAAGCCCAGTCAGCACACATTCTAAAAGCCCAGTCAGCACACATTCTAAAAGCCCAGTCAGCACACATTCTAATAGCCCATACAGCCCACATTATAATAGCACAGTGAGCACACATTCTAATAGCCCATACAGCACACATTATAATAGCACAGTGAGCACACATTCTAATAGCCAGACAAGACACATTATAATAGCGTAGTCAGCACACATTCTAAAAGCCCAGTCAGCACACATTCTGGTAGCCCAGTCAGCACACATTCTAATAGCCCAGTCAGCACACATTCTAAAAGCCCAGTCAGCACACATTCTAAAAGCCCATTCAGCACACATTCTAAAAGCCCAGTCAGCACACATTTTAATAGCCCATACAGCACACATTATAATAGCACAGTGAGCACACATTCTAATAGCCAGACAAGACACATTATAATAGCGTAGTCAGCACACATTCTAAAAGCCCAGTCAGCACACATTCTGGTAGCCCAGTCAGCACACATTCTAATAGCCCAGTCAGCACACATTCTGGTAGACCAGTCAGCACATTCTAATAGCCCAGTCAGCACACATTCTGGTAGACCAGTCAGCACACATTCTGGTAGACCAGTCAGCACACATTCTAATAGCCCAGTCAGTACACATTCTAATAGCCCAGTCAGCACACATTCTAATAGCCCAGTCAGCACACATTCTGGTAGACCAGTCAGCACACATTCTGGTAGACCAGTCAGCACACATTCTAATAGCCCAGTCAGCACACATTCTAATAGCCCAGTCAGCACACATTCTGGTAGACCAGTCAGCACACATTCTAATAGCCCAGTCAGCACACATTCTGGTAGACCAGTCAGCACACATTCTGGTAGACCAGTCAGCACACATTCTAATAGCCCAGTCAGCACACATTCTAATAGCCCAGTCAGCACACATTCTGGTAGACCAGTCAGCACACATTCTGGTAGACCAGTCAGGACACATTCTGGTAGACCAGTCAGCACACATTCTGGTAGACCAGTCAGCACACATTCTGGTAGACCAGTCAGCAAACATTCTAATAGCCCAGTCAGCACACATTCTGGTAGACCAGTCAGCACACATTCTGGTAGACCAGTCAGCATACATTCTGGTAGCCCGGTCAGCACACATTCTAATAGCCCAGTCAGTACACATTCTAAAAGCCATGTCAGCACACATTCTAATAGTCCAGTCAGTACACAATCTAAAAGCCCAGTCAGCACACATTCTAATAGTCCAGTCAGTACACAATCTAAAGGCCCAGTCAGCACACATTCTAATAGCCCAGTCGGCACACATTCTGGTAGCCCAGTCAGCACACATTCTAAAAGCCATGTCAGCCCACATTATAATAGCCCAGTCAGCACACATTCTAATAGCCCAGTCAGCACACATTCTAATAGCCCAGTCAGCACACATTTAAATAGCCCAGACAGCACACATTCTAATAGCCCAGTCAGCACACATTCTAAAAGCCCAGTCAGCACACATTCTAATATCCCAGTCAGAACACATTCTTATACTCCAGTCAGCACACATTCTAATAGCCCAGTCAGCACACATTCTGGTAGCCTAGTCAGACACATTCTAATTACTCCGTCGGCACACATTTAAATAGGCCAGTTAGCACATATTCTAGTAGCCCATTTAGCACACATTTTAATAGTCTATATAGCGCCCATTCTAACTGCCCATTCGGCACACATTCTTATACTCCAGTCAGAACACATTCTAATACTCCAGTCGGAACACATTCTAATACTCCAGTCAGAACACATTCTAATACTCCAGTCAGAACGCATTCTAAAAGCCCAGTCAGCACAAAATCTAAAATTCCACTGAGCACACATATTAAGAGCCCAGTTAGCACAAATTCATATATCCCAGTCCACACACGTTCTAATAGCCCAGTAAGCACACATTCTTATAACTCAGTGAGCACACATTTTAATAGCCCAGTGAGCACACATTCTAATAGCCCAGTCAGCACACATTCTAATAGCCTAGTGAGCACACATTCTAATAGCCCAGTGAGCACACATTCTAATAGCCCAGTCAGCAAACATTCTGAAAGCCCAGTGAGCAAACATTCTAATAGCCCAGTGTGCACACATTCTAATAGCCCAGTGAGCAAACATTCTAATAGCCCAGTGAGCAAACATTCTAATAGCCTAGTGAGCAAACATTCTAATAGCCTAGTGAGCAAACATTCTAATAGCCCAGTGAGCACACATTCTAATAGCCCAGTGAGCAAACATTCTAATAGCCTAGTGAGCAAACATTCTAATAGCCCAGTGAGCAAACATTCTAATAGCCTAGTGAGCACACATTCTAAAAGCCCAGTCAGCACACATTCTAATAGCCCATACAGCACACATTATAATAGCACAGTGAGCACACATTCTAATAGCCCATACAGCACACATTATAATAGCACAGTGAGCACACATTCTAATAGCCAGACAAGACACATTATAATAGCGTAGTCAGCACACATTCTAAAAGCCCAGTCAGCACACATTCTAATAGCCCAGTCAGCACACATTCTAATAGCCTAGTGAGCACACATTCTAATAGCCTAGTGAGCAAACATTCTAATAACCTAGTGGGCACACATTCTAAAAGCCCAGTCAGCACACATTTTAATAGCCCATACAGCACACATTATAATAGCACAGTGAGCACACATTCTAATAGCCAGACAAGACACATTATAATAGCGTAGTCAGCACACATTCTAAAAGCCCAGTCAGCACACATTCTGGTAGCCCAGTCAGCACACATTCTAATAGCCCAGTCAGCACACATTCTGGTAGACCAGTCAGCACATTCTAATAGCCCAGTCAGCACACATTCTGGTAGACCAGTCAGCACACATTCTGGTAGACCAGTCAGCACACATTCTAATAGCCCAGTCAGTACACATTCTAATAGCCCAGTCAGCACACATTCTAATAGCCCAGTCAGCTGACATTCTGGTAGACCAGTCAGTAAACATTCTAATAGCCCAGTCAGTACACATTCTAATAGCCCAGTCAGCACACATTCTAAAAGCCAAGTCAGCACACATTCTAATAGCCCAGTCAGCACACATTCTAATAGCCCAGTCAGCACACATTCTAATAGCCCAGTCAGCACACATTCTGGTAGACCAGTCAGCACACATTCTAATAGCCCAGTCAGCACACATTCTGGTAGACCAGTCAGCACACATTCTGGTAGACCAGTCAGCACACATTCTAATAGCCCAGTCAGCACACATTCTAATAGCCCAGTCAGCACACATTCTGGTAGACCAGTCAGCACACATTCTGGTAGACCAGTCAGCACACATTCTGGTAGACCAGTCAGCACACATTCTGGTAGACCAGTCAGCACACATTCTGGTAGACCAGTCAGCACACATTCTAATAGCCCAGTCAGCACACATTCTGGTAGACCAGTGAGCACACATTCTAATAGCCCAGTGAGCAAACATTCTAATAGCCTAGTGAGCAAACATTCTAATAGCCCAGTGAGCAAACATTCTAATAGCCTAGTGAGCACACATTCTAAAAGCCCAGTCAGCACACATTCTAATAGCCCAAACAGCACACATTATAATAGCACAGTGAGCACACATTCTAATAGCCCATACAGCACACATTATAATAGCACAGTGAGCACACATTCTAATAGCCAGACAAGACACATTATAATAGCGTAGTCAGCACACATTCTAAAAGCCCAGTCAGCACACATTCTAATAGCCCAGTCAGCACACATTCTAATAGCCCAGTCAGCACACATTCTAAAAGCCCAGTCAGCACACATTCTAAAAGCCCAGTCAGCACACATTCTAAAAGCCCAGTCAGCACACATTTTAATAGCCCAGTCAGCACACATTCTAAAAGCCCAGTCAGCACACATTCTAATATCCCAGTCAGAACACATTCTTATACTCCAGTCAGCACACATTCTAATAGCCCAGTCAGCACGCATTCTGGTAGCCTAGTCAGACACATTCTAATTACTCCGTCGGCACACATTTAAATAGGCCAGTTAGCACATATTTTAGTAGCCCATTTAGCACACATTTTAATAGTCTATATAGCGCCCATTCTAACTGCCCATTCGGCACACATTCTTAAACTCCAGTCAAAACACATTCTAATACTCCAGTCAGAACACATTCTAATACTCCAGTCAGAACACATTCTAATACTCCAGTCAGAACGCATTCTAAAAGCCCAGTCAGCACAAAATCTAAAATTCCACTGAGCACACATATTAATAGCCCAGTTAGCAAAAATTCATATATCCCAGTCCACACACGTTCTAATAGCCCAGTAAGCACATATTCTTATAACTCAGTGAGCACACATTCTAATAGCCCAGTGAGCACACATTCTAATAGCCCAGTCAGCACACATTCTAATAGCCTAGTGAGCACACATTCTAATAGCCCAGTGAGCACACATTCTAATAGCCCAGTCAGCAAACATTCTAAAAGCCCAGTGAGCAAACATTCTAATAGCCCAGTGTGCACACATTCTAATAGCCCAGTGAGCAAACATTCTAATAGCCCAGTGAGCAAACATTCTAATAGCCTAGTGAGCAAACATTCTAATAGCCTAGTGAGCAAACATTCTAAAAGCCCAGTGAGCACACATTCTAATAGCCCAGTGAGCAAACATTCTAATAGCCTAGTGAGCAAACATTCTAATAGCCCAGTGAGCAAACATTCTAATAGCCTAGTGAGCACACATTCTAATAGCCTAGTGAGCAAACATTCTAATAGCCTAGTGAGCACACATTCTAATAGCCTAGTGAGCAAACATTCTAATAGCCTAGTGAGCACACATTCTAATAGCCTAGTGAGCAAACATTCTAATAGATTAGTTAGCAAACATTCTAATAGCCTAGTGAGCAAACATTCTAATAGCCTAGTGAGCAAACATTCTAATAGCCCAGTGAGCAAACATTCTAATAGCCTAGTGAGCACACATTCTAATAGCCTAGTGAGCAAACATTCTAATAGCCTAGTGAGCACACATTCTAATAGCCCAGTGAGCAAACATTCTAATAGCCTAGTGAGCAAACATTCTAATAGCCTAGTGAGCAAACATTCTTATTGCCTAGTGAGCACACATTCTAATAGCCCAGTGAGCAAACATTCTAATAGCCTAGTGAGCAAACATTCTAATAGCCTAGTGAGCAAACATTCTAATAGCCCAGTGAGCACACATTCTAATAGCCTAGTGAGCAAACATTCTAATAGCCCAGTGAGCACACATTCTAATAGCGTAGTGAGCAAACATTCTAATAGCCCAGTAAGAGCACATTCTAATAGTCCATTCACCACACAGTCTTATAGACAAGTGAGCATTTAATTTAACTGTCTATTTTCACACATTATAATTGTCTATATAGCACACATTCTAATAGTTCATTTAGCAAACATTCTAAAAGCCCTGTCATCACACATTCTAATAATCCAGTGAGCAAACATTCTAATAATCCAGTGAGCACACATTCTAATAGCCCATTGAGCACACATTCTATTAGTCCATTTGTACACATTCTAATAGCACAGTGAGCACAAATTCTCATAGCCCAGTGAGCACACATTCTATTAGCCCATTTGTACACATTCTAATAGCATACTGAGCACAAATTCTCATAGCCTAGTGAGCAAACACTCTAATAGCCTAGTGAGCAAACATTCTAATAGCCCAGTGAGCAAACATTCTAATAGCCCAGTGAGCACACATTCTAATAGCCTAGTGAGCAAACATTCTAATAGCCCAGTGAGCAAACATTCTAATAGCCCAGTGAGCAAACATTCTAATAGCCCAGTGAGCAAACATTCTAATAGCCTAGTGAGCACACATTCTAATAGCCCATTGAGCACACATTCTATTAGTTCATTTGTACACATTCTAATAGCACAGTGAGCACAAATTCTCATAGCCCAGTGAGCACACATTCTATTAGTCCATTTGTACACATTCTAATAGCATACTGAGCACAAATTCTCATAGCCTAGTGAGCAAACATTCTAATAGCCCAGTGAGCAAACATTCTAATAGCCTAGTGAGCACACATTCTAATAGCCCAGTGAGCAAACATTCTAATAGCCCAGTGAGCAAACATTCTAATAGCCCAGTGAGCAAACATTCTAATAGCCTAGTGAGCACACATTCTAATAGCCTAGTGAGCAAACATTCTAATAGCCCAGTGAGCAAACATTCTAATAGCCCAGTGAGCAAACATTCTAATAGCCCAGTGAGCAAACATTCTAATAGCCTAGTGAGCAAAATTTCTAATAGCCTAGAGAGCAAACATTCTAATAGCCTAGTGAGCAAACATTCTAATAGCCCAGTGAGCAAACATTCTAATAGCCCAGTGAGCAAACATTCTAATAGCCTAGTGAGCAAACATTCTAATAGCCTAGTGAGCAAACATTCTAATAGCCTAGTGAGCAAACATTCTAATAGCCTAGTGAGCAAACATTCTAATAGCCCAGTGAGCAAACATTCTAATAGCCTAGTGAGCAAACATTCTAATAGCCCAGTCCGAACATAT